AGGAATAGTTATTGCTTATCTTGAGAATGTGCATGTAACGGGTTGTATCTGCTTGGCTGCATAAGGGGGTGACATTCCTTTATGTTTTCACAATCTCTTAGTGATACCAGTGGGTGTCCAGTAGGGGTTCAGGTTCTTGGCGTACCTAACAAAGGGCTGAGCAAGGCTCACAGAAGCAACAAGGGGAGTGTAGATTTATTCAAAGTGAAAGTACAATTCTAAAGGAGAGTAGAGCAGGCAGAGTTTGAGAGTGGCCCATGGCCCTCATACCTGGGCGACTCTTGCCTACCTGTGGACGGAGTGGAGATTATGTCCCATTTTTTCCTATTGATTATTTTATTTTTGCCTAATTGGAACACAGAACTTGTGGTGGGAGTTGCTATGGTGATAAGCCTTCCAAGACAGAAGTTGCCATGGTAATGGGATTTATTGTAAACAGGACTATAATGACTTCTCTCTCAGTTTTGTATTCTGGTCAGCATTTTTCTTGTACCCTGCCTCCACCATCTTGATGTCCGTAACTTCGACCTCATTAGAAGTTGCCTGTGATGTGTATCACATTCCGGCTTAATGCTTATTCACTAATAAGTGCATTTTTTCCCTTTACAACCTTTGTGGAGAGAATTTTTGAGTTGGGAGATCTCTTGTTAAATTATATTTCACTCAAAGTGATTTCATCTGTCTGCAGTGTACACTGATGAAGTTTCTCCTTGATCAAACTTTACTCAGGCTTTTCTAAATGGTCTTACCAACTAGGCCTTGACATTTGCACTTCCATGTCTCTGTTTTTGCATGACTCAGTTTTAGCAAGAATCCTGCTAATTTGTTTACCCACAATCCCCCTCTCCCATATCTGATCCAATTCTTCATCTTCCCTCTCCCCTCAAGGTGATGTCTGATCATCCTGGCCTGTCTTCAGCAAAAAATCCTGTTTGTTAGGACAGTTTAGCCAGAATGGCCCCTCACCCCTGATGTTTCCTTTTAGTCATTTTCACTCCACTGACCCCCCATCCTGCTCCTGAACTATAACTTTCAACTTTTTCTGGTTGTATTTAGCATTTAGTCCATTTCAATACTGAGGTCTCCTTTCCCCTTTTGCAATAGTCCTGGAAAAAAAAAAACACCCTGTTTTTACTGCTTCTTCTACTGTATGGCTCCAGTTTTCTTTGACAATAAGTTACAGAAAACAGGGAAAAGATGAAACCAAAGGACAAGTCTAAGGCCAGAGCATAAAAGAGCACTGTGCTAAAGTATAGACTTTACTCAATAGGCATGGAGGAGCTATGGAAGACTTTTAATTAGGAAATTAAAATAAATAGTTTTTGACTTTAGAAAAATCACTCTGGCAATAAGAGGTGGGTTGGAGGGGAGAAGGGAAGAAGGGTGAAGTAGCACAGCACTGAATGCAGACACACTAATGTAAAAATACTATTTAAGGTTTTTTTTAAAAAAGTCTATTATTACTTAATAAGTTATTCCTGTTTCCATGAATTTGTATGTGTGGTACTGAAGATTGAACCCAGGGTCCTGAACATGTGCTCTAAGTGCTCTACCACTGAGCTATATCCTCAGCCCTCAAAAAGTTATTTCTGGACTAACTTTTCTGCTAGCTATCCTAACAATATCTGGAGTTTGTTTGTTTGTTTGTTTATTTATTTATTTATCTGAAGCACAAGGAAAACATTTCTCCAAGATCCAGAGAGAAGAAGAAAACAATAGTGAATGTGGCGGGGGCTCACTACATTCCTTGGCCATTTTTCCTGAGTGCTTTTGGTGTCCCTTTGGCCCAATGACTCTAGAGATCCCATGTCTCTTTAAGTTCTAGAATATTTCTGGTGGTGTACAATAGGAGAAAAGACTTGCTTATCACAAGTGTCTCTTGCATTTGTTGGTGGTTCTGCTTATGGTAAATATTTACTTGATATTATCAGTGAAGTCTTGTACAACAGTCATGAAAGTAGGGTGTATTTGTTAGGACAATAACTCATTTATTGACAGCTAGAATCCCAAATTATGACTACTTATTTCCTGGACTCATATGGGTTCAGGTTTTCCTAATATAACCTCCCATAAATGAAAAAAATTAACTTGGGACTCTGTTAATAGAAATTAAAAAGGACTAAGACACTTTGAATGAACTAAACACACAATTTATTAAAGAGTTAACAAAGGCACATCAATAATCACTTACAATGTATTTATATATAATTAACACAAGTAGGATTCTCTGTTACATGCCAATTTTTTCAACAAATAATTGTTCAATTCTTCAGGTCATGAAAGATAAAGGCAAAGTCTCAGTCCCAATCTTAATCTTCCCCATCCTCTTCTTGAGAACTACACTGATCCCTGAGGGGCAGATCATCATCATCTGTAGCCATATTATATCTCTAGAAAAGCATCCTAATTGCAGACACTCCTCAGATTCCTTTAAGTCAAGTTTTCAATGAACAGGCTCTCTGCTTTAGCAGATGCTGTCTCTGCTATTCATCCACTGTTACTCCATGATATTTCACCTGTCTCTCTGCATTTGCACACAGACAGTGCACTGTATCACTTACAGGGAGACATCTCCATCTCTCTCATCAGGAAAACCTGTCATTTTGTATGTGTCTGCTGTACTTTATACTGGAAACTCTGCCTGCCTCTGCACTGTGCTGTTCCCATGCACAACACAAAAGTGCTAGATTTTTTTTTGGTACCAGGGATTGAACTCAGGGGCACTACCACTGAATCACATACCCAGCCCTTTTTTATATTTTGTTTAGAGACAGGGTCTCACTGAGTTGCTTAGGGGATTTCTAATGCCCTAAGGCTGGCTTTGAACTTGTGATCCTCCTGCCTCAGCCTCCAGAGTTGCTGGGATTACAGATGTGCACCACCTCTCCCACTATAGAATTTCCTTCTTATATTGACTTCTGTATCCACTTCAGAATTCTGTACTTTTGCTTTGGGCATGTCTCTACAGATGAGAATTAGACTTTCTGTACTTCTCACAAACCTTATCCTATGTCCCAGTAGCTGCCCCTTCTATCTAAAGTACTTTGTTTGCAGTGGTTTGCTTTTGTTCCCCATATCCACTGCCCTCCTAAGGAAGAAGTATAAGTTACTAAAAGGAAAATCTGTGAGGGCTCAGTTAAATGGGGATTTCTAGTACAGGAAAGAGCCAAGTTAAAAAACATCAGAGTATGTGTGTTCACCTGTTAACACACATGCCTATATATTAACATGTATAGGCATTAGATCACTCCAGAAACAAAATCATGTATTAGGCCTGTCTCTATGTCATGCTCTGTACAGATGCTGGTCATGTGCATACATTCTACCTGTGGAACTTTGAGATATTCACAGTCTAGGCAATATTTTGGGTTCATTATTATATCAGAACTTTCCTGATAATTAAGATATTACAAGGGTCTTCACCTTTTGGCCTTTCTGAAGTGGTAAATGACTGCTCTATTGGTCAATAGGAATTTGATGCTGCTCCTAAATTCTGAGATTCAAAGCCTAGAGGTTTGCTTCAGTAAAACATCTCATTTATCCATGCATGTGGACATCTGATATTCAATACTGTACCATTGGAGAGTCTTGCCTTTTTAAATACAAACACTCCCAGGAGGGGCAGCACATGAAGCACTGCCATTCCATTACACAAGAGTATGATTTTTTTCCTTAGATCTCAGCTATGAGATGCTTCCCATAGCCTGAGATGACCAACAGGAAAGTTCTGAAGGGAAAAATTCCAGATCTACTAAGAAGGCAGGCCTGAGAAGTTGCTACCACAGGGCTTTTAGAGAGCTAGAGACCACCATCAGGAATGAGGAAGGGAGGGCCTTTGAAGGGTGTTGTGAAAGAACAATGAAAAATACCCAAGACAAACTTGGTTTACTTCTGGTTTTATCTGTGGGTCAACTTTCCCCTAACCAATAGAAACTCAGTTCCCATTTTGACAATGGTTGGGAATGCCTGCCCTGAATTCATACCCATCTAGCAGCTTCAAAGAGAAAGACATAAACTGAATTCTGAGGAGGCCAAAGACCTCTTGTAGATGTCTGTATACTGAACTGGTTTTAGTGCTGGGATTATCAGACTAACAGAAACACATGTGACACACCAAATGAGGACTTAAAGTTGGCTTATCAAGAAAGGCCAAAGTGGAACCATATTAGAAATAGTAAAGTAGGGAACAAAGAGCAAGAGGGATCTATATGGTACAGCTGATGCTGGATAAGGACAGAGCCTCCTCTCTGGCCCTTGTCGCTGTAATAGATGGGTCAATAATACTTTATCACAACCTCTGATCCAAACTCCCTTGACTTCAATTTTCTACTAGCCAGACTCCAGGAGAGGGTTCAATGCAGAGGAGTTCCTGATTAGTGTTTTTTGAAGCATTTAGAAATTGAACAGACTAAAGTATTATCAAGTTACATTTGTTTTGTTAAAGAATAAAATGGTTATCTTTCTGTGCCATTTATTGGAGATAACCAATTTTAGGTGACAGAAAACCCCTTAATGGAACAATTCATGCATCTCATTGTCATGAAAGCATTGATGCCCATCTTGAGAAGGATGAAGTGAACAACATTGGTTTCATATGTTACACAGAAGATGCAGAATGGAAATGAATAACTGGCACATCCAAACTTCTAATAATGTATCTTAAAACATTCCTCAGGATTTCTGAGGCACAATGGAAACCAGTGAGCATGATCTCAAAATTCTTACTTTTCTTTTATTAAAATATATGTTTTTCTTGTGTTAATAATTTCATTCTTATAGGAATCATAATCTAACACAATGGCTGTATTATCTACATAATTCAAAATACTGGTAGGTATTTGGAAATAAATTTACTATATGTATGAAATATAATGTTAAGCCAAATCACAAATTTAAATTTTATATTAGAATTACTAAATATTGGGATTGATATATTAGAACATGAATAGCTTTGAAGTGAACTCAATGTGTGAATATGGATTCATAAAAAAAGACATAACCAAAGAATTTACATACTTTATTAAAAGAACAAAAAATGACATAAAAGTAGCGTACTAAAATGAGTTGCATAATGTATACTTCTAAACACAAACAAGCACTACAGCACTATAACTTGCAAAAAAAAAAAAAGTCAAAGCATCTGCCGTTGAGGGAATGAGCTATTGCATTTTAGAGACAAAACATCATGGGAATGGTTTTTATTAATAAAATATTCTGATCATTATTAGAAACTATAATTGTTGCACAGGGTTAATAGTTTTCTTAATATAGGTATTTTCAAGTTACCATTTTTCTGCTCCCAATACATGTTTCCATTGTCTATATTCCAGAGAGTTTTATAAATGCATAAAATCAGCCTTTTAAAAAAGAGTATATTTAGGATCTTTTTTTTTTTAAAATCTAATTTACAGCTGGGCATGGTGGCACACACCCATAGTCCCATCTACTCAAGAGGCCAAGATGGGAGGATTTCTTGAACCCAAGAATCTGAGGTCAACCTGGGGCAATGTAGCCAGACTCTATCTCAAAAATAAAAAACAAAAAAATCCTTAATTTTAAACGAATGTAATTGGGTGCATGGAAACAAATTATTCACTTTCAAGAAACTAAAGTTGCAATGATAACAATAAAAGGAAATTTATTTTGGGAAGGTTATCCTCAGAATCAAATGCCAATGATGTTCACATCACTCCCTCAACTGCTAGACACAAAAGACAACAATAAAATAATTTGCTTTCCATTACTAACAAATAGCATCTGTATATAGACTTAAGCTTTGGAATCATGCAGTTCTAAGATAGATAAATCTTCAGGTTATGCGTTTAGGAGAAAAAAAAATGCCTACTTAATAGTCAGGTTACTTTTCGGTGTTGTTACAGAGGTATTTTTTTTAAAAAAGTAACATGATATAGAAGATGACTAGTGAGGAATGTTTACAGTATCTGCAGAGTGGTAACTTATTTCACAGTGATACATTTTTTTTTCCTTTTAGGTAAACCGTAATTGAGGATGTGTTCTATATAAAAATAAATTCTCTCTGGAATAATTGAGCTTTTGAGTATTAATGAGTAATTTCCTTATAGGCATGGACAAGTAAAGGGACTGGATACTGAATTAGTCAAACTGAATCCTAGCTGAGGTTATTTTTGGGTCTCTCATGCATTTGTTATACTTCGTTTCCTAATTTGTTTTACTTAAAGACAGCCACTGTGTTTAAGCTCCAAAGAATGCAACCCAGATGCTGTCAGCAGGCACACCATGTTGTAAATTTATTGAATATCTTCTGCAATGCTTCTAGGGCCATTCTTGCTATTTTATGGATGATTTTTCCTGACTTAAAATCTCAGAGTTCAGGCTGGGATGTGGCTCAGTGGTAAGAGCACTTACCTAACATGCATGAGGCTGTGGATTCACTCCTCAGCATGGTAATAAAATAAACTAAACCACAAAAAAACTCATCTCTCTCTTGACCTTATGAAAATATATTCTTGTGGCTTATATATTCACAAGGTTATGTCAAAACAAGGACATAGGTTAAATTGGGAAATTATGTTGGTGAATTCTTAACTATAGAATGTATGAATGCTGACATTTTACATCAATGGAAATGGTGGTTAGATTGTCAGGCTGTTAGTTGTATGGTTATATGACTGACTCTTAAGTGCTTATGAAATGAGGAAGTAAAAAGAAAAAAAAAGAGAAATTTCTAACTAGCTGGCCCTGAGCTATTTGACAACTGTAAGGCTTGGATTGCTTTCTGACTTTGGCTTATTTTTCTGTCTCTCTGTTTGTGTGTGTGTGTGTGTGTGTGTGTGTGTGTGTGTGTGTGCGCGCTGGGGACTGAACCCAGGGCCTTGTGCATATTAGGCAAGCACTCTACCACTGAGCCACATCCCTAGCTCTATTTTCTATCCTGTGAGAACTAGAAAAATGGGCTGCTATGCTCCAGTTGCAGCTCTCTTAAACCCAGGATGGGCTTCTTGAGAACAAGAGCTACATGTCCCAATTTGTGAAGGACTTAAAAGACCTAGAGTGATCTTTCCCTTAACCTATCTAACCTCAACATTTCCTGTCTCATTTCCTGGGCAGGATAAGAAAGTTCCATGTCTATTTGTAGGTGGTGTGGAGCTAAAACTGGCAGAAATGATCAGATTGAAACATTCTCTTTCAGCTCCTATGTTATGGAAGATTTTGGCTAGTTCTCTTCTTAGTTAAAACAAAATATTGGGAGGCTGAAGTGGCACATCAAAGTACTCTGTAATCTAGTAAAATCAGGTCAGAAAATAGCTTCCACTGAGCAGGTATAATGTAAATAAAGTTATTTCCAAAGTTGTGTCAGAAGCTTGTTTTCCTTTGTTGAAGGGGATGAACTGCCGTATACTGGTCACACTTAACTGGTAAGTAAGCTCTTTTGACTGCCTATTTGTTTGGGGGCCTGAATCTTAAAGGAGGAATAGAGGTCAACAGTAACAATTTGACTATTTCTTGAATATACATTAGTTGGCATACATATTAACTGATGCATATAGCAATAATTTTCTGGGAAGGATGAAATCTGATTTTAACATAATGAGAATAACTATTTTGTAATTTTAAAGTATATTTAACTGCTTGCAATCATTAAAAAAGTAAATTCCTTCTAGAAACCCACTTGGTGTGTGTGTGCATGTGTGTGTGTATGTGTGTGTGTGTTTGTGTGTGTGTGTTTCCAGTGGGGGTTAATTCACAAAGCAAACAATCATTGTTAGTTGTCTTGCTGAAAGAAATAACTTCTGCTCTTGTTTAGTGCTGTTAGCTAAAGTTGACCTTTCTCTGTTATCAGCCTTTTCTTATAGTGAGTTGTAGCAAACTAGAAAAGCATCCACAACAGCAAAGCAAAAAATCCTCCTTCTCAAGGCCTTAGAAATAACTCTTTCTTACTAATGTTTCCACTATCATCACAGACTTCTTACGTTAAAAAAAAAAAAAGCTCCAAGGATTGCTTTCATGAACTATGTACATAAGTGCAAAAAAGGTGTGTCTCACACATCCGCACCCTAACTGAGACAATCAGGTAACGGCAGCATATGTCTCTTAAACACTGTCAAGGGGTCATTCCACAGTATCTTTATGTATGGTTTTGCAAATATGAACTGATTTCAAAAAATATTTTAGTCATCCTCTAATCCTCATGTAATTGTATACATAAAACAGAAATTTTGCAGCTACAGATGTTACATGACTAGGATAATTTTAGTTATAAAAAAAGAGTCAGGTAATATTTTATATATTCAACAATTCTGTTTTGATGTCAAAATACTGAGGAATAACCCAATCCACACAACAAATTCTATAAACTATAAAGCTTGACTCTAAAATCCATGTGTTGTAAACTTTTTGACCAAAAAGTCACACAAGGACACAAATTCAGCTTTCACATGAGACTTAGGGATTTAAAAAAAAATTCAACCATATCTATTTTCTGAGTTTTGAGCTGTAGCTTTGACATGCTCATACTGTCACAAACCATGTATAGTTTACAAATAAAAATTTCACACACACACACACACATTGTCTAAAGGTAGCCATGTTGTAGTTTTGTTGCCAACGCAACGACTAAATATAATTAGTTAATAATTATTCTTTTTGTATAAAGGTAAATTTGTTCTTAAACTGTGAACTGTAGAGAGTTGTTATGGACTGTAATCTACATTTGCCATGCTTCAATGTCAGTTTAGAACTTATCCAGATGGAATGAATATATGTAGCAAAAACTTACACTTTCCCTAACTCTCTTTCAAAATTAAATCCATCAGTTACTTAGAGATACAAAAAGTAATAAAATAAGAATCTTAAAAACTAACAATAAAAAAATGAAAGCACGGCACCAATTAGTGATGGTGCTCAGAAACCTATATTTGTAGTTATATATTTACAGACTGATTAGACTAGCAACTACATTTTCTAAAAAAAGTTATATTTTTAAATGCTACTTATTCTATTGCCTTCAACAGGTACTTGTTAAACTAGGCCACTATGTTACTAAATCTATTAATCAAATTGGGAAATCAAATTTCCCACCTAAATTTTACTTGTATCTATTTCAATGTATGAGAGATGAAAAGAATTAGGACTCCAGTTTCTAATCATTCTGAGTGCCACAGCCTACTCTACAGACTAAAAGAACTCAGGAAACTTGTGGTTGCACTTTACCTGAGAGCAACCTCATCGACACTCTCCAAAGAGGGGGAAAAGAACCAAATAACTTTCCAAGTAGCACATGAACCTTCTCTCTTATTTCATAAAATGCAATTGTAAATCTGGTTCCTTATTCAGACATCATCATTATGCTCACTGGTCATGGCATTAAAAAGTGATTCAGGCTGTAAAGGCTAATTTCAGTTGGTTCCTGCTGATGGCAGGGAGAAGGTACTGGCATTTTCCCAAGTTGGAGAGCAGGTGAGCTAAGGGCTCCCATTAGTGAACACAGCCAGTGCTGTAGGACAACACTCATGGCAAGATCAAAGTGCTTTAGCATGTTCAGAAATGGATGGAGTTGGGAGAAGATGGCTTTCATGATTAACTACAAAGTAAAGACTAATCTAGAAATGTGAAATGAAATGCAACAGCTGGGAGTGGAATCATGCTCTCATTGCAAAAGTAAATACTGTATTTAAATAGCAATTTTATGAATCCATTATTTTAATTTCATCTTAATCCCTCTTTAAAATATACTTATGCTATGGTCACATAGTGCTTTTGGTGAAAATTGAAACTACTAAAACCCTCTTAAAAGGTATTTTTAGATTACTTTTTCTGTATGGATGACCCATTTTATCCAAGTTTCAGCACTCTTGCATAGTTCTGCAAAAGGCTGAGAAAAATGGACAAAACTCATAATTTTGGATAAATAAAAATAGAGGCCCTTGTAAACTACAAAGATTATAAACTGTTAACTAAGAATCACAAGTGATTAGAATTTCATATATACAATTCATTCAGTAAATTTTTGCTTAGAGTCACTGATTTTGTGACTTGTCTTTATAACTTGAAATTTATAGTCTAATGACTTATCGGTCTTGTTTTCTCTTGAAAAAAGATAATCTTAATAAGTCATTGCACAACTAGCTTAAAGAGTACTATCTTAAAATTTCATTTCTCTCAAAACTCTGTTGAATTTGATCAAAACTTTAGGGCTTTGAGTTTTCTTTCTTTAAATTCATTTTCATAACAACTTTAAAAATGCCAACAGTATAGAAAATTGTGGCTCCAAAATACAACTATCATGGATATCCCCCATGAATCTCTTACTACAAATAAGTCATTTTTAATGTCTTCCAGTGCTTAAAGCAATAGGAAAACAGCTGAACTCTAGGTTTGTTGTCTCTGTACATCTTTGCCACAAGTTTAAAAAGTTCAATGAGATAGTATGTTGCATCAAAATGTCAAACTCCATAAAAGTTCATTTTGCACAAAAATTTCATCTCCACTGATCAGCTCAGGTGCTTCCTTCCTGGATTTATGTGATCAGATCTGCCATTCTGGAGAGGCACTGGCACAGATTATACAAAATTCAGTTGCATACAAAAGACATTTCAAAAAGGCATACTCTACTTTCTTTTCTAGCAGTGTTAAGATTTTAGGAAACAAATTAAGTGGTTCAAAGAGTCCACTGGGAAAAGTTAGGACAACTCTTGATCTCTTGCTCCAGGCAACACTGTTAACAGATAACAGTGGCTCAATACAAGCAAGACTGACTAGAAATCACTGTTGACCAGGATTTGGATTGATAGTTAAGATCAATGGGATACAAATTACCTGGGATAATTTTGTTCTTTTGAATTGTGAGCCAAACTGCTTTGCTCAGGCTTTGCCTATGGAGTCTGAAATGTTCTGAAGCAAAATGTGAGGAGAAGGAACAACTGGTAGTTCTGAGTCCTACAGTTGGCTGGGTATCCCTGAGCAAGTTACCTGCTCTGGGTCTTAGTTTGATCAACTGTGAAAAATCTTTGCCAACTCTATTGTTCTACAATTCAAACCTACCAGCTGGCTTTTGATATCCTAAATCAGATTTTTTTCTTTGATTGTCATTTTCATGAAGGAGAAAAACAACATATATATTTTGTTTTTATACTTTCCCATGGGAGAATATATATTTAGTAGAAAATATTAAATCTAATTTGTGTAAAGTATCATATGTTTCTACCACTGTATAAGAGTAATGTTAATAACTCAGTAGAGTGGAGGAGGTATGCTATGTATGTACCACAGGAATGGATTAATTTCTATTTTTACTGTGTGCAACTATTTTATAAGTATTAGTAATGAAAATTCAGCTCATCTCTGTGGAATATAGCCTCTCTATATTAATCAAAGTGTGCTGTTATCTCTCTATGAACATATAAAAAGGTTAATGAGTCCAAACAATAAAAAAGCTTTATGATGCAAAGGATTCTGATGTTAAAATCTGGCCAGGGAAACACTTGTCACGTGTCATGGGTGCTGGCTCCTTCACTAAAATGTTAAACAGCATTGGAAATTCAGTTAAACTTAAGCTAAAGACAATTGTGGACACCTTTTCAAGTTCTTTTGCATAAACCAAAGAGTAATTTTAAATGTCTCCCTGGCCCCAAACCTACAATTTCTCTGAACCTGTACTCAGGCTCCCTCTGTGATCAATAGAGAAGATTGTCCATTTGGGGAGGAAAGGCCTCATTTGGAACCAATTCTCTTTCACCCTGACTGACTTTTGCTAGATTGCATCTTACTTATTATTCAAAGAGTAGTCTAAAGAGCATGAGCCATTTGCATTTGGAAATGGCACTTGTGTAAAAGGTTACATTGCAATGGTTTTACACACTTTCTGCCAGTATGTAAAAACTATCTCCATGCCCCCATCTTTCTGTTTGATTTATAACCTGCAATTAGCATACCTTTAAGCTCCCAAGTACCAGTTTCTCAGCTGAAGATGACAAATGGCTCAATTTTAGACACTCAACCTAGGAGACAGGATTTCTTGAGATACAAAAAAAATGTAATGGGTACTTTATATAATTTTTAGTATAAATGCTGAGAACTTCATTAAAAGGAAAAATTCTCCATTTTTAGGCCATTTAAAAGGAGTGTATTAGGAGTTCATGTTTGAAGAAGTTCCTTACTTTGGGTGGTAATTATTTCTCTCTCACAAAAAAATCTAGTAAGCTTACTGAATTATGCAGGGTCAGATCTACAGGTACAAATTATATACATGCATGTTTATGACCAGGTTTTGTGCACACTCAAAAGTGAGGCCTTTTACATATCTGCCTCTAGAAACCTACAGAAAGATTCTAAAGAGAGCATATTAACATAATCCTGTCATGTTTTCAAGCACATATACTTCTGTTCCCCACTAGTAACATTTTAATTTTTATCAAACACCACACATATACAGCAAAACACTATAGTATGTAAGACTAAATTCAACCCAAACCAGTACAACACAACGATGGGGAAGATGGTACTGGACATATTTGTTACATTCTAAATCAACCCAATAGACTATCCTGTAAACACAAGTAAGGTAACACTTCAAAAACAGATAGTTTATCCACCAAGAATGTAGAGTAAGCCAACAGTACAGTGTGGAAATTAATTTAGCATACTGGTTATTGGAAAATCACAAATGTTATGGTCAATATTCTACCTGATAATTCAAACAAGATGGGTAGCTTTCTATATGGGTCTTGTTTTACCATCTTCGCTGATTTTTAATTCTTCATTTTTTATTCAAATTTGTTGGCTGGTACATTTTCTCTACTTAATATATTGATTGCACCATGCTTATTGTTGTGTTGGTAGAAGAGGACATTTGAGAATACATATAGAAAGGCCATATGGAGGTTCTCATGGAGAGATTCCGGTACTCTGTGACTCTGCTGTTCAGAATTTCGACTGAAATGGGAAAAACAAGAGAATGAGTGAGACATATTGAAGGGTTACTTTACTAGGAGTTAGGATACTAGTTCTTGCTTCAGTTCTGAATTTCAGTTTGTTTATGCATCTGTGAAAATGGGGCTGTTGTGAATGATCAGTAAATAGCGACAGCTATGACAGTCTATGGGAAACTTCCAGTGAGAGTTATTGTGGAGAACTGCCCTCAGTTAAAAGAGATACGTTGTTTCAGGCATTATCTATACAATACCAAAACTTTTTGCAGATCATCCACCCATTGGTTGATCTCCTTCAATAGGTACATATTGGAAAAACATGTTCAATACCAAACACTTTGAAATATGCCAATAGTAAGTAAACTTCACACTTTATCAGAGTGTTTTAAAGCCATGCAGAAATAGCCTAAGTTAGGCATATAGTAATGTATAAAACTGTTCTGACCTCTGGAGAAATTTTCAACCCTTCTTACATATAGAATGCCTCTACATTTTCCAAAGGAAACAAGTAAAAAGAATCATTCTTCTTAAGTGTATTTTGTTAGAAAGTTAATTATAATTATGACGTTTGTTTACCTTGACATGCATAGCCATTGAAAAGGGAGCAAGGTGTTGGCAAAAATCTACATTCTCATGTATGGTGCTTTGTCCAAGTTGCCACTATCCCAAAAACATCCCTGAAAACTATTACCATTTATGCTTCCTTCTGTTATCCCATGGATTCAGAAGTGTCTTTTTAAAAAAAACAGTCCTTATGATGAAAAGGACTTGTTTATCTGCTGTACATCTGGCAATCAGCTCTGTTCAAAACAGAGTTGGTGGCCTGTGTATCCTCAGCAGCACAGAAGGATTAGCTGGGAACATAACTGCTGCCTCCTTCAAATGACAATGCGGCTGTGAGAACTTCAAATTTTCAATGACTAATGTATGTAATTCAGAGTTGGTACACTTATTTAATAAGTCCCTAGAATTAATATACCTAGCTCTCTTAAGTGGCTTCAAAAGACACAGGTTCAGGTGCATAATTGCTCAAAGTATGTGCTACCATGGGCTCCATACGAGGCAAAGAGGAGATCAAGGGCATAGGGGAAAAATCCAAGAGCAAAAGAATTTTAAAATAACATGATTTCAATGAAAGTAATGATTAAATCACTTGATTATGCTACTCAAAACTTGAAACAGCTGGAGCAATTCTGGGTGACTTATGTGGAAAACAACATAAGGCAGCTGACTGTAAATGCACTGTTTTCCACAATGTCATCTGAGAAGCATGACACTGTCTTTAAGATAATCATCTCAGTTAAATCCTAACAAATATTACTTTTGGGAGGAGTGCTGGGAATTGAACCCAGGGCTTCACACATTAGGCACACACTCTACCACTGGGCTACATCCCTGGCTCTACTTTTTTACTTCAATAAAAAATAAAGCTATAAAAATGTTTAGAAATTAGAGTTCAAAAGCAACTTATATCTTTGGCTAACAAATCACACTTCTTTAAAAACAGGCAACCATTGCAGAATTTGTAAGTTGTATTTCCCAGTTATCAGCTGTCATTTCCATATTAAAATTGCATTTTGCTTTCTCATTTCAATTTGGAAAATTTAGAATGTATACATCAAGATCTAAGTCATAAGTGATATTTCAATGAAAATATTTAGCAAAGCTGTAGCAAATACATTGTGTAAATAAAAAGATAAAACCTAAAAATATTATTTATATTAATACTTAAAGAAACTTACTGTTCTACTGGTAACTTCTACATCTGTGAAACAAACATGCTGCTATTCAGTTCATCTATTGATAACTGGGGTATCTACAGTAGTAAAAAAGATTTTAGATTAAAATGATTTCTTGAGAGAATTCTGTTTCTTTTGTTCACTGCTTGGACATGGTAATCAATGATGATAATCAATTTCACAGAAAACCTTAGATATAATTTTTAAACTTTAGACATATTAACTATTTCCACTAATAGCAAAGCACAGATTAGAATGTGGTTTGCTCCATAATTAATTAATGCTCTGTGTGTTTCATGGTGATCATGCTTGTAATTTAAGTAGCAGAGGAATTTTTAGTCTGTGGGCATGGTTAACACTTGGCTATGGCAGAACAGCATTATTCAATAATTTTCATATTTTTATTTTTTCATTTTTTAGTTCTTTTTAGCTATAAATGGCAGTAGAGTCAATCTTGACATATTTATATGAACATGGAGTATGTCTTATTTTAATTAGGAGCCCAGTCTTGTGGATGTACATGATATGGAGATTCATTGTGCTGTATTCATACATATGTAACCATCTTAAATTTCAAGACTCCCCAAATACTACTAATTTGCCAGTGACTCTGTCAGAAAAATACCTAAAGAAAATGAAAATCAAAACAACAAAAGCACATCTAATGTTTGTATGAGATGGAATGTCTGATGTAATCATTGGGTAATGATAAGGATAGATCTGTGCCTTGGAAAGAAATGTGATGCCTTGCTTTCTTTCCAATGTATCTGAAAGTAAAAGTGATGATTGTACTAAGTCCAAGTTCAAGCACAATAATAAAAAAAATGACAGGAAAATCAATTCTCATTTTGACCAATGAGAAAGCATTTATGAAATAGTACAGTATATACATTTCAGGATTGGTATGGTAGCAAAAAATTAGTTATAGAATATCAAGAATGACATCTGTTCACTGATTAAAAATGAATAGAATCCCACCAATCACCCTTGGGATGAATGGCAAAGTATATACAGCATCTTAGAATGTATAGAAAAGTAAAATTTGTAAATGTGACAATTGCTTAAGAAACATGCAAATACATGGACCAGTGTCTCTCACCAATCCAAAAAGCATACACTGTGCCTTCCCAACATATTGTAGTTTTCTAGGTCTGAACAGGTGAAATAAATGGCCAAACCTGATTGCCTGTAGTTGTTGCAGCGTAGGGAACGCTGGTTGCAGGTGTTGTTGCGGCAGACACAGCGGTAGGTGTAGCACCGTGCATCATGGGCACTTTCAGTAGGAAACCATGGAAGCGACACACAGGAGGGCGGAGCATTTATGCAATGATGACATTCGATGGAATGGGGTGTGGTAAGTATCACAGCAACAAGCCAAGTGACATCATCATGATGGAAACACCAGGGTGCAACATGCAATCACAGTCAGTGCAAAGCAACACGGCATGGGAGGAGGGAAATTTAAAAAGAGAAAAGGGGAAATCCAATTATAGTTACCATTAAGGAAAAAGGAACCATTCTCAACATTTAGTAAGTTTTTGAGCAGTATTGTATTGTAGTTGACTCAATAGGTCAAATTTTCAAAAAGCGTTATAATGAATGTATATGAAAAAATACCTAATGCTACCAGGCTATCTATCTGAAGCTAGTTAAGCAGACGAGTAACTGGTTGCATATTTTAAAGGAGATTAGGGAATTGTGGATTTGTGTTTGAATTCACTGACTTTTATGGACATGAATTACTGCCATTGGATTTGCAAGTGCAAAGGGGCAGTTTTATGTATACTTACCTGATCTGCCTGCAAATAAAAAATGTAGTTTAATTGGTGGGTATGTAGTAGGGGAGCAGATATCAAGACTTCAGTGGACTATTTGTGCAGATTTTTAGGTACACCTCTGACAAGTTCCTTGGAAACTTTGGCTATTTATCAAACATATACATGGAGCCCTTCATAGTAAATTTTGTCTTCACAACCAGTATTAGTGCTACAATGGCTAGCAACTGTAAAATCAGTATTAGTGCTACAATGGCTAGAACTGTAAAATCTTTTTCAGGATGTTTTTTCTTTGCCTTCTCTAGTTTTTTTTTCTGAAAGTTTTCTATGTTTTTCTGACTTCCATTTTACTTTGGAAAGTCAAGCAGGAAATTGATGTGTGATTGGCAGGTATACGATAACTTATTGTGTCTATATTAATTGAATTCAGACTTTCTGAAAGCCTACTGAGAAAGTGAATGGCCACATGTAATGTTATAGAAACCAAAAAGTTATCCCAAATGGCTATTAACAGAAACTCCATACTTATCCCTTCCACTCAACTCCAGCTACCTATTACCTACAGTTATCCCTTTATTGTCTCACATGCTGATTTGAAAAACAATCTTATTTCCCCTTTGGAAGCACAGCAACTACACAGGAAGCAGCAGCACTAAATCATGCAATTTGCATTCCTAAGCAGAGCTCTGAAAGTAAAAGGACAGGGAAACATCCCCAAGAAACAGGTCACCAAATGTCAACACAGAGACACATATCTCAAACTTGCAGAAGTCTGTTCTTCTAATTGTATGCATAGAATGTTCCAGTTAGTATCAATGGACATGTTGTTAATTCCTACAGGGCAAGCTAATCCCTCAATAACAGAGGCCTCACTCCTGTTGTCAGGGGTCAGAACTTACTATGTAGTGAGTGCTGTTTCTATGTGGCCATCATCTTGACCTTTTTATTTTATCTGCATAAGCCTGTTAGTGCCTTTGGAGACTGTAACTACTCTACTCCACTAATGGGATGAATGTCAAGTTGTTGCAAACTCTCAAAAAGGATGGGAGGAATTGGGTTCATATGAGATTGTGGGTTTGTAAAGGGTGGGACTTTCCTCCCTGCATTGAAAAAAGCTATTTTCTCCTGATCTGTTCCTGCTTCTTATGAGGAGTTTAGGACCTGTAAACTCCCCAGTTGTTTTCTCATCCTTTTCAGTATTAGTGATGGGTAAAATGGCTTGGAGATGGCTACCAGGTTGTGTTGGTGGCTAGTGGCTAACTAAAGGATCTGTACGTAACTGATTGCTAAAAATGTCATAACTGCCAAAGAGTCATTTTAAAATGATTCTGCTGTGTCTAGGTTCTGTGCAGATGGCACTTCATCCTAGAACACTACAGATTTCAGCACAGAACACTGAAGAATGTTTTGCTTAGGTCATTCTTTCTTAACATCTGAGTACTGAATGGCTTAGGTCATCTGGATAACCTTTTAGGGGAGGAACTATTTCATTGTACTTTAGACATTTAAAATATTTTACACTTTTAAAATTATATATATATATATTATATATATATATATATATATAATTGCCCAGTCTCTCT